CCTGGGTTGTTGATCTGAGACTTGTGCGGTGATCGTTGGGATCTCTTGGGGGGCTTCTCGCGGGACTCTTGGAGGCAGTTTCGAAGCCTCTTGGGGGCCGTTTTGAAGCCGTTTTGGAGCCTCTTGGGGGCCTCTTGGGGCCTCTTGTGGGCGTTTTGGGGGCCTCTTGGGGCCTCTTGGGGCCTTCTGGGGCCGTCTTGGGGCGGAAGGCTCGGATTGTCGGTTCGGGCTCCCCCTCTTGGGCACCTCTTGGGGCCGTCTTGGGGCCCTCTTGGGCTGTCTTGGGGGCCTCTTGGGCCGTCTTGGCGCCCTCTTGGGCCGACTTGGGCGCTTCTTGGGGGCCTCTCGGGGCGGTCTTGGGGTGCTCTGGGACCGTCTTCAACGCCGTGAAGGCCGAGAAGTAGTATATGATCAATATGTACGTTTTCCCATGGGAATTTGACGATTTTCGGCGCTTCGGCCCTTCTGAGGACTGCTCTTGGAGGCCTCTTGTGCCGTCTTGGAGGCCTCTAGGCTCGTCTTGGGGGCATCTTGGGCGTCTGGGAGCGCTCGTTTGGCGCCTCGGAGCTCTCGTGAGCCGTCTTGGAGGAGTCTTGGAGCCTTCTTGGCCCGTCTTGATCTCCTTTTGGGCCCAAAAGAGCCCCGTGACGCGCTCGTGGTGGGCCCGGGGGGGGGGGTCAAATCTCCGGTTTGGGGTCCCAGGGGGGGGGTAGGGGGGGGGAACTATCTCACATGCCTAGAGACCCACAAGGGGTCGGCGGATTTGTGTGTCCTGGGGCCCCTTCAGATTTGGCGGCGCGATGGTTGGGTCCTTCGTCAGGCTAATTTCAGGTGAGTCGGCGGGTTGAGCCGAGACCCCATTTGGAACTTTATGAAACGGTACAAATGGATGGCCTAAAGCTTGGCACGCCGTGCGCCCTTCTGAAAGCAGAAGGTGGCGGCGGATCTAGTGGCCTTCGACCCCTCCCGCCACCGGGCGTGAATCGTGGGTAGGAGACCTTTCGCTTGCGGCTCGGGGCATCTTGGAGGACATCCTGGGGGCCTCTCGGGGACCTTTGGGGGCGTCTTCGGGACAGAGTGGGGGCCTGCTAGCTGTACGCATCGGGGGCTATATCGGGGTAGAGGGCTCCAACGCTCCAGCTGGTAGTTCGCGTTCCACCTTTTGAAGGCTTCTTGGCAGGAAATTACGTGGATTGGGGGTCTGCCCCCGAAGGGGTAGTTATCTGAGATATCTGGGGGCCTGAGGGCATTCCACGCCATGACGACGACGAGTTGGCCGATATTGCATCACCCACGAGCAGCATCAAGCGAGACTCGTTGGCGCCATAGGCACCTCAGGCATAGGAACGCAAGGTAACCAATGTGTATCAGATGACGCTTGCTTGCGCGAAAACAAGGAAGGACGCACTCCCCAATTTGCGCCGTCGCCAAACAACGAGTAATGGTGATGCCAGCGCGTGCACTCCAACTAGATGAGTCGTGAAACATTGTGAAGTCACATGTGTGCGGACGCCTAAATGTGTGGAGCTTTGAGTGCGTGAGCGCCAGTTCCTGACACGTCAACAATCGCTTTTGGGAGCAAGTGAAGAGCAAGCTGTGTGTAGTCAGCGTGATCGCAGGTACGGGTGGACGGATGGTTCGCACGCGCATTGATTGTGTATTTCTACGGTGTGCATTGAAGACCGTCTTGTGCGGTCTCACGTAGATACCGCGCGTGATAATTGAGCGCGTGGCGCAAACAGTACGCTCAGGCTAAACCGGCGCATTCCAACTGCGATGCCCTGTCTTGCAACAGGCCGTGCAATTTGATGATTAGATGGGATGTTGGGCACTCTGCAGCGTGGTTGCTCCGTGCGGCACTCCTGGAGCGTGATGCCTTCTGATACCTCATTTTTCCATGTCGTTGCGAGACCATGCGGGGAAATTATCAAATTCGCGATGCGAGATTCGCGACGGCATGCTACGGGCATCTTCACACCGAGACGACGCGCGCTTGCTCCAGATTCGCCCTTGCGTTCTTGAGGTGAATGTGTGGCAATAGCTTGTTTAAGGAACTGCCTGCGCACCAATCTCATTCCTCGCACATGCGTGGCCCCCTGCAGCTTTGCTGGCGCTTTCATTGGAGGGTGAAACAGGGGGTCTGCAACAGGGGGTCTTCAACGGGGGCTGAATGGCCCATATATGCTCAATGCATCGTTCATGGATGTGATCGGGCATGATTTGCATCCAATGTTGGCGGTCATTGAGGGCCAGTCGTTCGTGCCCGCGCGTTGCCCGCGCGGGCACACGCGCCGTCCATCCATTATCGTTCATACGTGCGGGCGTTCTTGCATATTGCGTGTGGGGCGGCGAAGTGGAGTGCAAGGGTGTCTTGATTGTGCGATTGATGATCGCGTATGTTCCCAAACGATTTCTCGAGCCCCAAGACAGATTAGGAATGGGTCCCGCGTTTCTCCCAAAATGTGAATTCACATTTCCTTTTTCCAAAATGTGAATTCACCCTTGCCTCCTTCCCAGAATGTGAATTCACATTCTGGCCCTTCCATAAAGAATCCGACACAGCAATCCAAACTGTGAATTCATATTTTCCTTTTTCCAACATGTGAATTCAGATTTTCCTTTTTCCCAAAATTTGAATTCACATTTTGCGTTTCCCCACAATGTGAATTCACATTTTGCCTTGGCCTTCAAGATCCCAAAAACTGAGGCGCGGTGTTCCGCATGTCAGATTGGCTGGGCAGGTTTCGACACTCACCTGACCGCGCTCGTTTGTTCCAGCCTTTTTCTTTTTGCGCCCTCAGCGCACGGTTGCCTTCGTCGCCTTTCCCGAGCCCCCCGCCCCTTTTGCTCCCTTTCCCCATCAAGTCTCGCGCATGGGTGCAGGCGGGGGGGTTCAATTAGTTCCCCCGCCGAACACAGCAATCGAGGATGTATCGCCCATTCATGGCCCATAGAGACATCATTGCCTGGACCCTGCGCCCGACCCCCACTTTCACCTTCCAGTTTCATTGCGTAATAAGCAGGGCTGTGTTGACCAGTTTAGGGACAACGCATGACGTAAAGGCACATGTTGACCGATGTCTCGCAGCAGCACGCAACTTACAATTCTTTGCGTGTGCATTGCAACTGTTGGTTTGAGTCTCGACAACGCAATTTGTTGAATCATACATTTCACGTGCGGTACAATCGTGCCGTCTTGCACGGGCATTCAAGGTCGAAGTTGCGATCGTGATCTATTGAACGGTGCACGTGGTCACAGGAACCAGTGCCCGTGTTGTCCTGACAGGAAGGTGCCGGATGCAGCTTCATGATGCGACGGTGTGAGCGGTAACTGGCACCCTGAACGTAATGCACGTATCGACGCTGTTGGCTGAGTGAAGTCGATTGTGCGTGCCTTCTCCATCTACGGTTCAAAGAACATATGTTTTGTTCTCGAACGCGACGGCGCGGTCGGGGAAGAGTATCTTAGAGGCGGTTCCCCGACCACGCCGTCTTACGAGCAGTTGTTCGATTATTTGACGCGAGCGCTGGTCTAGGAGCGCGCACCGTGCTGGCACGGCCGCTTCCCCGCAGCCGAAGGTTCTGACCGCTGGAGGACACCCGTCTTTAAGGGGGTTGGGGGTCATGAGGGTATTGGTCCACTGGTTTCTTGATTTAAAACCTCGCACTATCGTTATGTCGTCTCACCTCTCTCGCCCCCCTCCCTGGTCCCCTCTCCACCCCTCTCCCCCCGCCCCTCCCCTCCTTTTCCAGAGTGGGCTCAAAACAGATTGGCGCTCTGGGCCGCGTAGCGCACGGCGCTCAATGGGGGGCATGTTCGCAGGGGGGCTGACGGAAGCAGGGGCGGGTCTGAGAACCCCATCCCCAGGAGGAGGAGGAAGAGGAGGAGGAGGAGGAGAGGGAGGAGGAGGACCAGGGGGATGAGGAGGAGAAGCAGGAGCAGGAGCAGGAGCAGGAGCAGGATAAAGGTACCCGCACGGGCTAGGAGGTAGTCGCGCCGCGCGCACCGTGGCCTGGGCTCAAGAGTTGCCTCTCTCTCTCTCGCTGCCCGCGACGGCGGCGTGGGATGTTGCGAAGACGACCGCGCCCTCGCGCCAGAGCGGAGCTCGAAGTCCGGCGACCTGGAAGCGAGGCGAACGCGGCGCGGGCTGCACCTCGTGCGGCTCGCAGCCAGCAAGCTGCGCCACATGCTTAACATGCCCCGGTCCGCAGGTCCCCTCCTGGCTTGTCTAGGATGGGGAGGAGGGGAGGAGGAGGAGGAGGAGGAGGAGGAGGAGGAGGAGGAGGAGACAAGAAAGAGAGAGGAGGAAGGAGGAGGAGGGAGGAGGGAGGAGGAGGAGGAGGAGCACGAGGAGGAGGAGCACGAGGAGGACAGGAGGCGGAGGGAGGAGGAGGACGAGGAGGGAAGAGGAGCCGAAAGAGGAGGAGGAGGAGGAGCACGAGGAGGAGGAGGAGGAGGGAGGAGGAGGAGGAGGAGAGGGGAGAAGAAGGAGAACGAGGAGGAGGAGGAGGAGGAGTATGATAGGAGGAGGATGAGGAGGACGAGGAGGAGGAGGGGAGGAGGAGGAGGAGGAGGAGGAGGAAGAGGACGAGGAGGGGAGGTGGAGGAGGAGGAATTGGAGGAGCAGGAGGAGGAGGAGAGGAGGAGGAGGAGGAGGAGGGGAGAAGAGGGAGGAGGAGGAGGAGAGGAGGAGGAGGCGGAGGCGGAGGAGGAAGGCAGTGTCGAGGGGGGGTCGGCCTTTGTGGGGGTCGGCCACAGCCAAGGTGCTCCTCCTCCCCTCCTCCTCCTCCTCCTCCTCCTCCTCCTCCTCCTCCTCCTCCTCCTCCGCCTCGCTCTCCTCAGGTCCCCTGCTCGCGCGTCGCAGGCGATGTCGATCGCGAGGGCTCGGATGTTGCGTGGTGCGGGTGTAGCTTCTCGAGGGCATCTCCGAGGTCGTGCGGCCGATCTTGCTTTTGCTCCTGGTTCCGATCGCGATCCTTTCACCCCTTCCCCCTCCATAAAGCCATTTTGGCTCAGGCGGAGCGGGCTGCCCAGTTTTGCCTGGCACCCACACAGGGGGGCGCGCTCCGGCGGGATGTCTTTCGCGGACTCCCTCACGAAGATCGTCGCGGAGAAGAGGAGGGAGCAGGCCGAGAAGGAGCGAATCGCGGCCAAGTGGCTTGAGCACGAGCAGAAGCTGCTGGACCAGGGCGTGGAGCTGTTCAAGCAGCGCTGCACCCGCGAGGCCGAGCTGGGGGAGAAGTGCCAGGCGACGGTGTCCTTCGAGGTGCTCTCCAGGGAGATCTCGGACTTCCCCAAGCGCGTGCTGACCGACTCGACCTACTTCGTGGAGTCCTGGGGCGAGGGCATCCGGGCGGAGAACTGGTTCTACGCCGTGCGCGGCGCCGCCGCGTCGTGGTCTCCCGGGGCTCCCATCCTCTTCGCCGAGGTGCTGCAGGGCATGCTCCCCAAGTTCGTAGAGAAGGTGAAGGCCAGGGCTTGCCCGGAACGATCTTTCGGGGCGATGTCGTGAACCGTTTTCGTTTTGATTTTGTCGCTTCCAGCGAAGGCGAGACGAAGACACAAACGAGGGAGAACGAAAGCAAAACGAGGACGAATAACACGATTTGGGTCGAGCCTTGGTGAAGGCGCTCGGGTTCAACAGCTGCGTGCACGAGTCTGGCACGTGGAAGGTGACGGTGACGTGGGACCCGCCAGGTGGCGGGGACGAGGAGGCTGGCGAGGAGGCGACTCAAGAAAGCCCCACTACGCCAGCGTGAAGACTCTGGCTCGCCAGGCACGGGTGCGTCCTCGGGAACGGCCCCTCGTGGAGCCGCGGGCAGAAGGAGCGACCGCGGAAAGGGTTGAGGGGCGGGGCACGGCGCGCGTAGTAGCCGCGGGGGATCCTTCTCCTCGTCCTCTTTCCTCTTCTACTTTCTCGGGTATGCCACCGAGGCATAGGCCTGAGGTGTTTCCTCCTCCTGCCCCCCCCCCCCCCCCTTCTCCTGTCCTTAGACATACCATGCACGCGTAGGCCTGAGGTGTCTGCCCCTCCTCCTCCTCCTCCTCCTCCTCCTCCTCCTCCTCCTCCTCCTATCCCCTTCTTTTCTGACACATTCGTGGATGCGTAAACCTGAGGTGTCTCCTCCTCATCCTCCTGCGCATTTTTTGAGACATGCCATAAATACGTAGGTGCGAGGTGTCTCCTCCTCTCTCGGACATACCATGAAGGCGTATGCCTGAGGTGTCACCTCCCTCCTCATCCTCATCCTCCTCCTCCTCCTCCTCCTCCTCCTCCTCCTCCCCCTCCTCCTCCTTTATTTGGCATGCCATCGGGATGAGCCCGCGGCCCTAAGCGGATGTCCAGAGAATCCACCAGATCGAATGCGACGTTCCAGCCCGAATTCTACGACCACGCAAGCCAAAACAGCGGCAGCACCGCGCGACCTCCAAGAGATCCAAGGCCGGCCATGATCCAAGAGATCCAAGGTAGTGGGTAGTGGTCGTCGTGGCGGTCGTGACTGTAGTCGTTGGCGTCGTGTGGCGGTGGCCACCGGCTGGTGTCGTAGTCATAGTCTCTGTCGCGGTGCTGGTGGCTTGAGCAGGGCTGAGGGTCAGAGAGCGCCCCCCTGTGCAGGACCACCAGACAGGGGACGTCAAGGGGGTGCATCAAGCGGGGGCGTCAAGGGGGTGCATCGAGGGGAAGCGCGGCGGGAGTGCATCCAGGGGAGGGGGGAAAGCGCGCGGTCAGAGCGCGCAGAGTGGCTGCACCCCTTGAGGCCCATTCCTGAGCGTCTACAGACCTGACCCTTCGGCCCTACTCTGTGATGGTTGTGCGGTGCCATGGTGGGAGGCGGCGGCGCGGTGGTCGTGATACAGTCGGACCGAGGTGTAAGATCGAGGTCGGTTCGGGGAAGGTGCCTTTATGTTCTTCGTGGTTGTTGGATGTTCTTGTGCATCCTTGGGGGTACCATTGGATGTTCTTCCGTTTGGCTGGCGGAGGGTCTCCTGTTTTTGAGGGATGTTTTTTTGTTCTGTCCTAGGTCGACTTGTCTTTGTGATGGTAGGTCGTCTCTGTGATCGTCTTTGTGATGGCAGATCGTATTGGTGATCGTCTTGGTGATCGTCTTTCTCTTTGCCTTTGCTGTAGTGGTGATCGCCTTTGTGATGGTAGAAACAGTTGGCCAGCGCTTACCTGCCCAGGGTGCACTGAGGATGATCTCCGCGTTGCCTTGCCTCGGACCGCTCAGCGTCCTCCAGGCAGGCGCCGTAACTTCGCACGAAGCTCGCATTCTTGCCAAGAGCTGCCCAGCAAAGCAGCCTGGCTTTGTTCTGGACAAGGTGGGCAAAGAGCGGCGGAGCCGCTTCGAGCGCGGCCTCCGCCCCAGGACTGGGAGGAATGAGGTCGTCCTCGAGTGTAGGGCCCTCAAGGATCTTGGTTCCCCACTCACGGGAGTGAGCGCAGTGCCCAGTGCACCTCTGCAGCCGGCACGTTCGGCGTCCACAGGGGGAGCAGCAAAAACGCACGAAGCTCGCTGCCTCGTCGGACGGCCGCCCCCCAGTCTCGTAGACCATCTGGACGAGGTCAAGGCCCTCCCTGGGTGGATACCCGTCGCGTTTGTCGTCGGTTGGTCAGCCGCGGGACCGTCTCTTTGGGAGCGGGCGTTGGTAGAGAGTACGCAGGTCACCGCCAAGTCCACAAAGATGTGCCGGCCAGTAATAGGGTCGTGTGTTTGGATGTCTGGCTTTGCCTCCTATCGCACCGCAGTCCAGGGTTTGCGGCGGTCCCAAATTGGCACCCGTTGATTTGTTGGTGCAGCAGGACCCGTGATGTCCTCATGCATCTGATCATGCCGATCGCGTAGCTGGTTGTTCTAGTCGGTGCAAGAGTTGACCACCTCGCATAATTATAGTTAGTTTGGCGTGGAACCCGTGGAGGTCGAGGATTCCCCACACAGCGCTCCGTCTTGTCGTCGGTGTTGGGAGCGATAGTCGGCGGGAAAGGCAGGTACTCGAAGTAGACACGAGGTTAATTTCGAAGTGGCCATCTCGTTGTAAAGGACAATTTGGTTGCCACGGTTAGAGAAAGCCCGTGCGCCGATTCCGGCGCACACCCGCAGCGCCAGCTGACATTCTTCTGGGAGTTGGCGAAGCCTTCGTTCTCTGTTCCTCCCAGAAGTTGCCCTGTTCCACGTGCCCTTAGAGCTTGGCTTGGTCACATTTTACCTCCATGCCTCCTCCTCCTCCTTCCCTCCCTCCTTCCCCCGCCTCCTCTCCCGTGTCCTCTCTTCGCAGCCCGCGCCGCGAGCAAGAACCCATGCCGCCCCAGCGGACGTCCCCTTTGGAGCATCCCCATGTCTTCCAAGGGTCTCGGAGGCCTCTCGAGACCCGCATCGGCTCTGCGACCACCTGCTGACTAACCCTGCCGCCGGGGGTTCAGTCGACGCTGGAGCACACGTCAGACACACCCTCTTCGGGCGTTGCAGAGCAGGGCTGGACCTAAACGGTGTTTGGGCGATGTCGTGGGCCGCTGTTGTTCCGATGTCGTTTTGCATTGAAGGCGGATTGGAGACAAAACGAGGGAAACCGAAGACAGAGCGAATACAAAAAGCACCGCTCAGGTCGAGCCCTGTTGCAGGAGGGATATCGCCTGCGAGGATCGAGCGAGTTGGCACGGCTTGCTCAGCGGAGAGGGGGGCGGAAGGTCGGCGGAAGCGGGCGGGGAAGCAAAACGAGGGCGGCTTTGCCAGCAGAAGCAGGAATTGCCTTGGCATCGCTCGGACGTGTGCATTTTTCCTTCGGCGAGGACCCTCGAGGAGCATCCTTGGTGATTTAGCGAAAAAACCACGCACGAAACCAAAAAAAACACAGGGAATGGACGTCCGAGCGATGCCAAGTGGCGGGGAAGCAAAACGAGGGCGGCTTTGCCAGCAGAAGCAGGCATTGCGTCCCCAAGACACGTCAACGGTGTTGGACCGGGGGGGTCCAGAACGGGCCGTATGGATCCGCTCGGCTGCAGACATTGGGGGCGGCCAAGAGGGGGGTGACGATGAAGGGGGTGTGGATATCATGGCGGGGGCCACGAAGTTGCCCAAGACTGCATGGCGCCTCATCTGATGTAAATCCCCTGGGCCGCGCACATGCCACTGGCCATGATTTGCGCCCTCCCCTCTTTCAGGAGGGGAAGAAACACACAGACACAATTAATCGTCGATTCCCAGGAAAATATGCGAAAATATGGGAAGTGGTGGGGAAGACAAAAACCCAGAAAATATTGAAAAATATGGGGAATATTTTTATTTGTGTGTATTTATTTGTGTGTCCCAGGGCCCCTTTACTCTTGGACGCCCCCCTCTTGGCTGGCCCCGAGGACAGCCTTCGAATTCTCAGCCCCGCCAGAGTTTCGAGGGCTCGCCTCTCTGCGGGGGTCACGCTTCGCGTGCGGCTGCCCGTTGCCTCGAAGGTGCGCACGCGGCTCTCTTGTTGCGGATGTGCGCTTGCTATTCGTGGCGTGGGCTGTACTCGGTTCCTTTCCCCTCCAGCGAGGTCTCCGCTCTCGGCTCGGCAAGGGTCTCTAGGACCAGGGAGTCGTAAGGCTCGAGTGCACCAAGAACTCGGGGTTGTCGGAGTTTTCTGGCGAGCGCGTCCTGGACTTTGACGGCCCAGTGTTCGTGGGACGTTTGCAGCGGGAGCTCGCGTCAAATTTCAGATTGGGTCTCGTCGTTTTCACGATGGCCCCGTCAGGCCAACCCGAGTCGCCCGTACCCGAGTCTTACGTCTCCCCGATAGGAGCACTCTCTGAGGGAAATAGACGTTAGTACAAAAATGCTTAGAGAACGAAGAATGACATAAACATAACAACTCGGAGGTCCGCGCGAATTTCTCGCATCCGCGCTGGACCCCCTTGGTGGCGCCGGCTCAGCGCGCCAGGGAGGAGGATCCAGCGCGGATCCGAGAAATCCGCGCGGACTTCCGAGTTGTTATGTTTATGTCATTATTCGATCCCCTCATGTGGCCTGCACATCTCTCGCTTGCGTGAGCTCTCTCTCTCTCTCTCTCTCTCAAGCTCAGCAGTAGCTGCAGCGCGCGTTCGCGCCTGGCCCTCGATGGCAGAGAGCAGTGGCGCCACATCGCAGACGGGGAGACGCCCGAGTAGGAGGAGGAACATGAGGAGGAGGAGGAGGAGGAGGAGGAGGAGGAGGAGGAGGAGGAGGGAGGAGAGGAAAGGAGGAGGAGGAGGAGGGGGAGGAGGAGGAGGAGGAGGAGGAGGAGGAGGAGGAGGAGGAGGAGGAACATGAGGAGGAATATGAGAAGGAGGAGGATGAAGAGGAGGAGGATGAAGAGGAGGAGGAGGAGGAGGAGGAGGAGGGAGGAGAGGGGAGGAGGAAGGAGAGGGGAAGAAGAGCACGACCAGGATGACGAGGAGGGGTAGGAAAGGCAGAAGGAGGAGGGACAGAAAGGTAGGAGGGGCAAGAGGAGGAGAAGGAGGGAAGGAGGACAAGCTAGGTGTGCTCGCGTCGTATCTGACGTCCTACCCCTCCTCCCATCCCTTCCGTGGCGTAGATCCCCTCTCTATTCGCACAGGTGGATGTCGTAGCATGGCATAGCATTACATGGCATAGCATGATGTTGAAGATCAACGCGTAGCATGTTATAGCATGGCGTGGCGACGCCCAAAAGCAGGGGGGCTTCTGCGGCAAAAAAATCAACGAATCGGCACCGATTGCGCCATCACTTCGAGGGTGTTGTTCGAGGGCATGTTCTAAATGTTGGGGCCTAGTTGGAAGGACTGAAAACCATGCCGTGGCATGGCACTGGAAATAATGGCGCCAGCGCCGCAGCGGGAGCACGATTCAGAACGAGCGGAAGCGCGGAAATGAGGCAGCATAGCAGCGGGAGCACGATTCGGAACGAGCGGAAGCCCGAGCATGATGCCAGCGCTTCGGCGGGAGCAATCTTTTGAATCAAAAAGGCGGAAACCCAGTTCTTGGGAATCCTGTTTGCAAAAAAAAAAACAGTACGCGGAGGGGTCCAGATACCTGATGGACGTCATCAGGAGAGAGAGAGAGAGAGGAGAGTAGTATTCATAGCGTAATTGTGGAGGAGGAGAAGGAGAACGTTGTGGATTGTAATCCAGCGCAGGTGCCCATTAGGAGAGGCTTTACCCTGTCGAGGTCGGGTTGACCCCTATGGGTTCTCCCATTGCTGGAGTTCGGTGGTCGTGAGTGTGGAAGTCACACCTTCGGATGGAAACTGGTACACACACTGTATTTCGCAACCTGCGATTGTTGGTTATCATGCGCCGCGCTTATACCTTTTGACAGCCAACCCTGTTCACTGGGTGAGCACATGAGGAGCCAGAACCTCAGTATGGCAGGACAACGCATGAGGGTCCAACACCCCGCGAGTAGCAGTGAGGAGGAAGAGGAGGAGGAAGAGGAGATGTTGAGGATGGGAAAGAGAGCAGCAGAAGCAGCGGATGCATAACCCGCAGAGCAGACGGTGCGGGTGGCACTTGACAGTGAAGAGATCTCGCAATGGGGCCGAGCAGCGAGTGCGGCGTGATCGGCTGCATGAACTGAGACAGGTCTCACCATTTCCACACCAGTGCCTATCTGCTGGCCCCAGAGTGTCCTTCCGGTAGCCTCCAGCTAAGAGGAGGGACATGAGACGCGGGGAGGAACAGAAGGGAGGGGCAGGGGGCGGGGAAGGGGGAACGAAAGAGAGAGGAGGAGGAGGAGGTAGGAGGAGGAGGAGGAGGAGGAGGGGGAGGAGGAGGGGGAGGAGGCGGATAGGAGACGAGGGCAGGTGATTAGGAGGAGGTGGGGGGGAGAGGAGGAGAAGGTGGATGAGAAGGAGGAGGAGGAGGAGGAGGAGGAGGAGAAGGGAGAGGGAGGGAAGAGGGAGGGGGAGAGTGGTGAGAAGAGGCATAGTGATAATGAGAGCTGGGTGAAGAGGAGGAGGAGGAGGAGGAGGAGGATGGGAAGGAGAGGAAGGACAATGACGACGACGAACAGGAGGGAGAGGAGAGAAAGAACCTGAGGAACAACAGGAGAGACCGAGCGAGTCCGTCAGGATGCTTGCCCCTTGAGGGCCAGCACGTTCGAGCGGAAGCAAACAGTTACCGATGTCGGCGTCGCTGGCTGCTGTGGACAGCCGCACATGTTGTAGGAATGGTGTTGACAGTTCAGTCGTGCAGTGTCGAGCTGTCGTGAATGAGCGTGGGCACCGTTGGTCGAGACAACTTGCATCGTTAGGAGAGGTGCTGCTTCCCGAGGGCTTGATACGGTCAAGCTCCACGTGCGCCCGGCGTGTCCCCACGAGCCCGTCCAGTGACTCTGAGCACCGGGGCGAAGGTCTGAGCACGGCGGCACGGCACCGCGACGACGGAGGACGAGTATGGGCTCAAGGAAGGCGGGTCCGCGAATGCAGATGCCCCAGGGATCCATCGCGATGGCTCGCAGGCCGTGCCTGGAGGAGTTATGGCACGAGGAGGGACAGGAGCAGGGGTGCGAGGAGGAGCTGGAGAGCGGGGGGGGGCGGAGGAAGGGAAGATGTAGGACGAGGGAGGCATGAGGGGAGACGCGAGTTGAGCGGGATGATGAGGAGGAGGAGGAGGAGCTCCCACGTCCGCCAGCACCACGGGCAGGCAGAGATGGAGGTGTGCGCGGGTACAATGTCAGCGCCTTGGCCGACAACACCGTCTTCGGGGTTCGTGGACAAGGCCCTGCTTTCCCTCCTCCCGACTTTCGGAGGTACCGCCACATTTTCCCCACCCACACACACAGACACGTGCACACATGTTTTCCTCCGCCGCGGCGATGGGGTTTAGTCACCGGCTGATACAATGACGGGGCGCGTTCAAACAAATTGCCAATTCCATTTGGCAACGCGGAAAATCAGCATCGGGGGCCCACGCACACACACGTTAACGCACACACCCATACATCTTCATATACACCTACACCGACACCGACACCTACACATACACATACACGTACACAAACACACACGTACACATACACATACACATATACATATGCATATGCATATAATTATACAGCACAAGGATGGATACGCACACTCACACACATACACATTCATGTACACAAACGCATACACATACACATGCACATACGCATACGCATGCACATACACATACACATACATACACATGCAGGCTCACATACATACATGCATACACACATACATACATACATAAACACACGTAATCACACGCATATATACATACATACATACATACATCCATACATACATACATACATACATACATACATACATACACACATACACACATACATACATACATACATGCATGCATGCATGCATGCATACATACATACATACATACATACATACAAACATACACACACCCATGTGCATTGTGGCAAGCATTCATACATGCATACACACATGCAGGCATGTATACATGTGCACACACACGCACACATGCATGTACACATGTATGCACATGCATTTCTGCACCCACACAGTCATGCACACATACATGCATGTCGGCATGCATGCGTACACCTATATACACATACATATTTAGATGCCTACATACATGTAAACATACATACACACACGTGTACATGCATAGTTGCACGCATGCATACGTGCATACGTGCATGCGGATGCATCCTTACATACATGCAAACACACATCCTCACACATATACCCTCATAATATACACATACGCACGTACATCCATACATACCTGCATATTTGCATACATACATGTACACATATGCACATACACGCATGCACACCTTCACATACACATGCATACATCCATTCTTACATGCATACATCCATACATACATGCATACATGCATACACACGTGCATACATATATACATATACACGCACACGCCTCCTCCGTCACTTTTTCGTCATGGGCGGCCGGTCTTCCCCTGCTCCTCTTGGTCCTCTGGTTAGCGTTCATCATGTTCCTCCTGCTCCTCCTGGGCACGCGCATGCCAACAAGTTTGCGTATGAGTTTAACGAGTAGATGTAGAACAGCATGCGCAGTGGGGGGTATGCGGCGACGGATGGCGTCATCTCGTGCGAGCGCGCGGTATGCATACAGAGCCGTCGGCATCTCGGCTGGGCTATGTCATGGAAGTTCATTGAGTGCGAGTGTACAACTCTTCGTGCCATAATCTACATATGGCGCAAGTGTGGAGACAAGGGAAGCGCATGCGACACTAGAAAACGTGCCAGATATCACGGGAAGCCAAACATTGTTTGACTACACCGCCTGCTCAGGCACGGTCTAACTGATGCAATACCTTGCTCCGTGAGTTCACTGAGTAACTCACAGTTCAAGGAAGGTCTTCTCCCAGCCGCGGGAAGGTAGACCAGCGGCTCCATCCGGCCCCCAATGCGTCTCCATTTGGAGCAGCCGGGAGTTTGGCGCAACCGCGATTAGCGTGTGGCATCGGTGCCAATTGACGCACGAAAGGGGGGGGGGACTTGACTGGGCCCTACTACCCTAAACTCTCCAGTCCGACCCCGTGTGCTTATGGCTTCCATCAAAGTGGTCCCTCGGGATGGGAGGACCAGGCGGAGAGGGGAGGCAGAGGAGGAGGAGGAGGAGGAGGAAGAGGACGAGGATGAGGAGGAGGAGGAGGAGGCGGAGAGGGGAAGAAGATGAGAAGGAGGAGGAGGAGGAGGAAACGGAAGAGATGAGGAGGAGTAGGAGGTGGAATAGAGAGGGAGGAGGAGGAGGATCAGGAGGAGGAGGAGGAGAAGGAGGAGCAGGAGGAGAAGAGGGGAAGAGAGGAGGAGGAGGAGGAGGAGGAGGAAGCGGAGGAGGAGGAGGAAGAGGAGGAGGAGAGAGAGGAGAAAGGAGGAGGGGGAGGAGGGGGCACGGGGGGGGCTCGGGATGGTCAGAACGCGCGGCGCGCCTGGGCGCGTGGCCGCGTGTTCGGGCGCGAGGGGTGGCGCCTCTCTTCAGCCCTGTGCTGGCTGTCGGTGAGCACTGACCTCCTCCGCACTGAGATAGAAAGGAGGGAGGAGGAGGAGGAGGAGGAGGAGGAGGAGGAGGAGGAGGGAAGAGGAGGAGGAGGGAGGGGGAGGGGGGGAGGAGGAGGAGGGGAGGAGGGGGAGGAGGGGAGGAGAGGAGAATAATGGGATG